TAGCTTTGGAGCCTATCCTGGAACTCTTTGTAGACTAGGATGGCCTTGAATTCACGGAGATCCACCTGCCTCTGCCTCCCAAGTGCTGGGACTAAAGGTGTAAACCACCTCCACCTGGTGGGCTAGAGGAAATCTTGAGTATCATTCCTAAGTAGCCACCCAACTTGACATTTTTGAATAGGCTCTTACTATGTAGCCTTAGTTGGCCTGGAACTCTATGTAGACTGGGCTGTCATACTCACTCAAATCTACCAGCCTTTGCCTCCCAAATACATGGGACACTAGTTGTTGCAGCCTTTTTTTTTTTTTTTTTTTTTAATGTATTTTGTGTATATGGATGCTTTTGTCTGCATGTACATCTTGCACATCGGAAGAGGACATCAGAACCCATGGGACTATGGGTATAGATGGTTGTGAGCCTCCATTCTTGTGCTGGGACTTGAATTCAGGACCTCTGGAAGAGCAGCCAGTGCTTTTAACCATTGAGCTATTTCCCCAACCTCATTTTTATTTTTAAAAGTGTATGTGTGTGTCTGAGTGTGCAGACACTATGCCACGAGAGTGCACATCTAAGTCAGAGGACAACTTTAAGGGGCTGGTTCTGGACTTCCATTTTGTTGAGACAGGACAGCTCTTAATTGTGTCTGCTGTGTGCTCCCGGCTCACTGACCCATGAGTCTCTGGCTCCCATGCCATCTCGCTGCCTAAGTTGTGGGACTACATATGACTTTTCTTATATGGTCCTAGTGAACGAACTTGGTAGTTGGGGTTGCACAGCACAGCTGAACCGTCTCCCTCACCTTGTTTTGTAAGACAGGGTCCCATTATCTAAGCAGAGCTGGCCAGGTGAACTAGGCTGGCAGGCCAAGGAGCACCAGGGATCTGCTTGTCTCTCCTTCCCTGGCAATAGGATTATAAAAGTGTATCACCACTAGCTTTTTTAGTGGGTTCTAAGGATCAAACCTGTGCTTGCATGGCAAGTAGTTTACTGAGCTACCTCCCAGACATATTTTTTTTTCCCTTTTGCAATTGCAGTTTTGGCTATCTCATAGTTTGCTCCTCATTGTTCACTTGTGTCAGGTAATTGTAATGTTTTAACATTACATATGTACCCTGGCATACTTATGTGAGTATACCCACAGGATATTCTTTTCAATGTAATTTCTAAGTATAGTATACATATTGATAAATATTGACAATTGTCCTCTATAACATCCATACTAACTTACATTCCAACTAACAGTACACAAAACAGTATTTTCTTGGTTTTATGCACACGGAGCATTTTGTTTTTAAGTGCACCACACACATACCTGGTACCCACGGAGGTCAGAAGAGCACCTCAGATCCCCAGTGCTAGAGTTGCAGAAGGTTGTGAACTGCCATGTGGTTGCTGGCAATTGAACCCAGGTCCTCTGGAAGAGCAGCCAGTGCTCTTAAGTCAACAATAACAAAACCCGGAAGCCTATCAGTATTGTACTAATCCAAGACATGAACTCTTTATTGTTTTTACTGGGATGTAATTAACAAGATTAAGCAAGTTTTCAATGGGCCTGGTAGTTCACACTGTAATTTCAGCATTTGGGAAACTGAAGCAGGACAGTTGCCATTAGTTCAAGGCCAGCCACCAGAACTTGTCTCAAAACAAACAACATCCCAAGTATTTAAAAATAAATGCTTATCTGCCTTTCTTTTTTGAGACAATTCTATGTAGTCCCAGCTGTCCTGGAGCTTGATACATAAAATAGGCTAGTCTGGAACTCAGAGATCTGACTGCCTCTGCCTCCCCAGTGCTGGGATTAGAGGTGTGTGCCACCATCCCTGGCCTGCCATTTTCCATGAATGTCATTTTCTGTGATTCACAAACTTCTGAGATTAGTCCTTTGTCAGATATAAAATAATTTTCTTAGTTGGTTCTCATGAAACTTTATTTTTCCCCCTTTCAGTCAAATGCCTGTGGCTTCTGAGTATTTTGTTATGTGTGGAAAATATTCCAAAATTTACAACTGCTCTATTCTGATGACTGCCTGTCACCAGCCCATCCTGTGTACTTGCTCTGGCCATGAGGTCCTTTTCTTCAGGCTCACAGGGACAGCTCCTTGCCCATCATCCTCCCAGAGTCTCCTGTCCCCACTGTGGCTGACAGACTCCTTCCCTGAAGCTCCACAGTCACACTAGCTACTGTTGGCTTCTTCTGACCAACTTCCACTTGTAAAACAGGCTGAATTTAGGCCAGGAGGTGGTGGCATATGCCTTTAACTCCAGCATTCAGAAGGCAGAGGCAGGTGGATCTCAGAGTTTGAGGCCAACCTGGTCTACAAAGAGAGTTCCAGGACAGCCAGAGCTGTTAACACAGAGAAACCCTGTCTCAAAAAATAAAACAAAACAAACAGTCTGGATTTAACCTTGGGAAGCCCAGGGCTCTTTAACCTACTCTCGGGCCTATCCTACAGCAGCTAAGAGCATGACAAGCAGACCTGAACATGAAACCTAACTTGCCACATGCTGCTCATGAGCATCTGAAATATGGCTGACCCAAATTGAGACGAACTACACATGTTTTTAAATACCAGCAACTGGAAGTGTCAGTGTAAGGGGTGGTTGGGTCCCACTCTCCTGCTAAATGAAAACATTTTGGAGATAATTGATTACATACCTAAAAAAATTTTTTTGGATACAAGATCTTGTCACATATAGTGTAGGTTGGCCTGCAGCTCCTCTGTATAGTCCACACTGTCCTCAAACTCCGCCTCCCAAGTGCAGAGATTATGGGTGGAGTGCCCCTATACCCAGCTATCTCCAGCCTCTTCCTCTGTCTGTCTGTCTTGAGGCCTAAAGACGCTCTTGGTGTCGGTGCCTTTGTCTCGCTGCTTTGATATGAGGAAGATCTTGTCTTAGAGAAAAGGTATACACATGGTCTTTACAGCTCTCATACACGATTAAGCAGAAAAGGTATACACATGGTCTTTACAGCTCTCATACACGATTAAGCAGTCATTATTTGCTTGGTTCCAAGGCCTCATCTTTATAAGCACTAATTACACATTTCATTTTCTTCTAGCTGCCATGCAGGTTGTAATGAAGTACAGCAGTTCCTCTTAACTGACCAAGCAACTATTCATTCCGTAGCATGTCACTAGTGAGCAGGTCAGTCTCACGCCTACAGGCTTTCATGGTTGAAGCAGTCTTACTGTTTCTGAAGATGAAGCCCCTGCATATCCTTGGTCACCGAGGCCATTCTCTGCCGACATCAAGTTGTTTGGGACAGCTGGGCATGGTGGCACACACCTTTAAGCCCAGCACTTGGGAGGCAGAGGCAGATGGATCTCAGTGAGTTTGAGGTCAGCCTGGTCTACAGTGAGTTCCAGAACATCCAGAACTGTTTCACAGAGAAACCCTGTCTCAAAAAACAAAAACAAAACAAACAAACAAAAAGGTATCAGAGAAGCTGGGCGGTGGTAGTGCACACCTTTGATTCTAGCACTCCAGAGGCAGAAGCAGAGGCAGAGGTAGAGGCAGGTGAATCTCTGGAAGTTCAATACCAGCCTGGACTACAGGGCAAATTCCAGGTCAGAGATGCACGGAGAAACCCTGTCTTTTTTTTTTTTTTTTTTTTTTTTTTATTTAAAGTATTTTTGAGTCAGGTTTTCTCTGTGTAGTTTTTGCAGCCTGTCCTGGAACTCACTCTGTAGACTAGGCTGGCCTCGAACTCACAGAGATTCACCTGCCTCTGTCTCCCAAGTGCTGGGATTAAAGGCATGAGCCACCACTGCCAGCTGAGAAACACCAAAAGGTAAAAAAAAAAAGGATCTACAGTCTCCAACTGTGACCACTCACAGCTTTGTCCCTGTTCTTCCATTCCTGCTGTTGCCAACATTTAAAATGTTTGGTGGCCTTCAGTCAAAGCTCCTCATTGTAACACTTCCTTCTCCTGAAAAGCAAGCAAGAGTCATATTTTCTGCATTTTTCCTTCAAAGTCTTTGTTCTAAGGAGCATAACTGTAACCTGCAACATGTTGACAGAATGTCATCCCAAAGTAATGGCACCTTACCTTTGTTTAATATTTTATTCCAAAAACTTTCTCTGCATCCTTCAGCTCATCTGGGCTCAGGAAAAGGAGCGCTATTTCAGATGTGCAGGTAAAACTATGGCTGAAGACAGGACATGCATCAGAAGGCAGGTATTGCTACAAGGATGCAGTGAACGGGATTTACATGCTCTTGGCAGAATTTGGGGGACTCTGAACCTACTTCAGTGTGGGGAGTATACAGGTGGAGGCAACTGAAGTCTCTAGCACGTACAATAAATGAACGCCACAATGGGATTAGTTTGGAACAGGATTAGTTTTCTTTGGGGACCTTTTGAATTTGAGATGCCTAATAACTCCTTCAGGAGAGTATTAGCCTGGAGCCCTGGGGGTGGAGCTGCCATTAGGAGTGTGGGTAAGTCAAAGGAACAGGAATGGAAGGCCTTTCTTCAGGAAATACGCACAAGGCTAAATGGAATCCTAAGCTGCCAGTGTTATCTCTTTCACTTGTGTCAGAACCTTCACTGTCCACTTAAAAATGGCCAGGAGAGGTAGCTCTCCGGTCAACAGCACTGGCTGCTTTCACAGAGGACTCAGGAGTTGCTGCACCCCCCCCCCCACCATCTGTTAACACCAGTGCCTGGGGATCTTGCACCCTCTTCTGGTGTCTGTAGGCACTGCATGCACATGGTGCACAGATACACAAACAAAATACACATTAAATACATAAATTAAAATGACCAGCATGACAAATGTTATCACATACATTTTTCTACAATAAAAGACAAGGCTGGGCATGACAACACAAGTCTTTAATCCTAGCTTTTAGGGGGCAGAGGCAGGAGAATCTCAGTGAGTTCAAGGTTAGCCTAATCCTAATCAATACAACAAGCTCCAAGACAGACAAGACTACATCTAGAGATGCCTTGTGTCAATAAACAAAACAGACATCAAAACAAAACAAAACCAGGCTTCAATGGAGTCAATGGCAGAGTCTTGATAGTGTGTGCAAGGTCCTGTGTTTGATCCCTAGTCCTGAAAATAAAGACAGAGAAGGGAACGGAAGGAGATTGCCGAGCTGTATCACAGAACCAAACACAAATCACCACCTACCTCAGGGCTCACAATTAAAAATATTTATTTTTGTGGGGGCTAAGAAGGTGTACAGGTATCTGGTAAATATTCTACAATTAAGCTTTACCCCAAGCTATAAACATCTGTTGTCACAACTTTGGGTTTTGTTGTTGTTTTGTTTGTGTTTTTTTTTTTTTTTTTTTTTTTTTTAAGACCGCAACTCCTATAGCCCAGGCTGGCCTCAAATTAGCTAAAATTGGCTTTGAACTCCTGATCTTCCTGTCCCTGCCTGCCCAGCTAAGTACTTCTAAGTATTTTTTTAAAATGCTAGCTAGCACATCTTTCTAATACCTATAACTACACTCGGGGCTTGGCCTGCTCTAGGAAGATAAGATGTTTCCTTACCGCCACTTCTGGTAGCCAGTCCGGGACCTCTCATTACAGATTTCACTGTAAGGCTCTGCTTTAGAGCAGGCCTAGTAAGCCCAGAAAATGCCTGAAGACACCAGATTGGATTTAAGGAGTTCAAAGAAATAACAGAGACACAGTCTGGGGCTCAAGAGATGGCTCAGCAGTTAAGAGCACTGACTGCTCTTCCAGAGGACCTGGATTCAATTCCCAACATGGCAGCCCACAACTGTCTGTAACCCCAAGACCTGACACCCTCACACAGACATACATGCAAAGTGCCGATGCACATAAAATACATTTTAGAAAAAGAGAGATGACACACTCTAAAATTAATCCAGTCTCATTCTTTGTAAATAATCCTTTAGAAAGCTGGAGATGGACCATTTGCCTAGCACATACAAGACCCTATGGCCAGCAAGCAAAACAACTTCTAAATGCAGTTTCATTTCCCAGGACCACAGTCTCGTCCAGACTGCCTAGCTCACTGCTCTATGAATTCATTCCCCTCAGAGGCTATCCAAACAACTGGGACACTGACACTAATTCTTTCAGTTGCTTGCTTCACACACTTTGCCAAAAGCTTCTGGCAGGTCTGGAGGCTGCCCGCCCAATTGCTCCAGGATACTTGAGCATGACTCTCGGTATGAAGGCTTCACAATGTATGTTTGCTGGTCTTCCTGCTTCTGCTTCATTCTCCTACTGTCTTCAAAATTCTTGTCTATTCTTTTCTGTCTCTTTTGTCAGTCATTCAGGGACTGGGTGAGTCCCTAGGGTGTGCTTTGCTCTGAAGAGCAGAAGGCTTCGGTCCCAACTGGTGTTGCCAAAGCAGCACACTAATTCCATCGCATGGTCCTGTGTCAGGATCCGCACGATCTGGCTGGCCATATCGCCTCGGATGGTGAGAGAGCGGAAGTGATCAAAATTATGAAGTCCCAGCTTTCGGAGCCGCCTTGCAGCAGCCCGGTAGCACTTCCAAGGCTGTGGCTCCACAAGGAGGTAGTGGCAGACAGAGGAGAGATGGGCCAGGAACTCCCACAGACCATGGTCCCCATGGTTCAGATGAATCCACATGGTTACTGACATGCAGAAGACAATGTCAAAAGCAGAGCACCCAAACTGGCTCAAGAAAGAACTCAAGGGAACCTTCCTGTTCCTTTGATCCATGATGTCCAGGGTGATAAAGGTCAAAGCATCGGGAAAGGGACATTCTTTTTCAGCTCTCTCCACAAGGACTGGGTCTATATCACAGCAGAGGAGACGCAGGTCTCTGGAGGCACCTGAGCAGGGCTCCCCATCATGCAGGGAAAGGAAATGTTTGTACAGAGCCACACTCAGGTCCTAGAGGAATCCAAAAGAACCTTGTCACGAATGGGAAAGAAATCTCATCTTTTGAGACCACCACTTACCTATGACTGTACCAGATACAAGGCTTGTAACTTAGTAACCTAAAGAGGCTACAGTTTTTCATAGGCAGACTCTTAGCGCCCTCCAGGGGAGGCAGGTTGTAATGCACCTATACCCTATATCCAATTTTTAATTTTTGAGTCACTTTTAAGTGGTTCATGCTGGCCTCAAACTCACCATATAGCTGAGGATGGCCTTGAACTTCTGATCCTCCTGCCCCTGAGTGCTGGATTGATTACATGCATACACCATGCCTGGCTACCTAGTATCCTGCTGACATTGGCAACAGATTGAGTTGTGCAGTTGGAAGTAATAGCCCAAATGATATGGTAAAGGCAGCAAAGGGGCCACAGCAGTGTCTTCCAGCTTAAACAATATATTGACAAACTCATGATCTTTTTCTGGGTGTCTCATATCCACAGGAAAGGGATTCAGAAGTGTGAGTGGTACTCCTTATCAGGAAGGTGGTGACTACAGCAAGCATCAACTTGTAAAAATCTGTCTCTCAGCCTTCAGCTCTACAGCCTTCACTTCCACTGTCTGAGCATTCACCATCTCCAGTCACCGTCAATCCTTTTAGCTGTGAGTACCAACACGATTCTTACCATCTTAGCAGGCTTCCCACTCTCAACGAGGCACCATTTCACTCCTCTACACCTAATCAGTTACTGAACCACTGCAACTAATTCGAACATAGATTCTTCCATGGTGTTTTCTGTTCTTGCCTATGCAGCTTTTCATGCAGTGAAGAAGATGCACCATGGAAACCACTTAGATGTCCAAGTGAGAATACCAGCCACCAAGATGGTATACTCCACAGTGGCAGCACACGCCTTTAATCCTAGCACCTGGGAGGCAGAGGCCAGCCTGGTCTACAGGGAAGATTCTAGGACAGCCAGGGCTACACAAAGAGAAATCCTGCCTCGTTTTAAAAACCAAAGGGGGGGGGGGGAGATGGAATATTAGTAACAGTATAAAGTTGAGGAACTTGGCTTAATGCACCAAAATAGAATATTTTCAATTCTATTACTGACCTAATTTTCAGTTCAATATGAAATCAAGTCACAATGAAAATATACGGCAAGTTTTCTTTCTTTCTTCCTTCCTTCCTTTCTTTCAAACAAGCCTCACTATGCAGACCAGGCTGGTCTCTAACTGTCTGTGATCTCCTGCTGCAGCCTCTCAGATACTGGTATCATAGGCATGTACTGCCATACTGGACATGCAAGTTCTACTTTATAAAAGAAATCCCAAAGTGTGAAAGCTAAGCTATATTACTTAGGATAGAAAAGGAGTAAGATATCATCCAAAGCAAGGCGATAATAGGCCAGGTGGCACCTGTGTAGGAAGCGGCATATAAAGAACTTTTAGGGTAGTAGCAATGCTTTTTTTTCCCACTGACAATGGTCATAAACATGTTCCCTTATAATCATACAGTACAGACTTACGTTTTATGTACTTTTATGAGGGTACAGAATAGTTAACAAAAAACTGCATTTAAGAAATTATGGATCAAGGTTATTTACTTATCTAAAGTTACATGGCCATAACATAGTTAAGACTTAGGCTACATTAAGTTCCTATTTCCACACCAGACTTTTCTTTTTAAAAAATTACTTTATATATATGCATGTGTCTTGGTGCTTACACGGGCCACATGTGTGCAGGTGCCTAGAGAGGCCAGAAGGGATCATCTGATCCCCTGGAACTGGGGTTACAGGTGGCTGTGAGCTGTCCAACAAGGGTGTTGGAACCCATGGGTCCTCTGAAGAGCTGAGCTGTATCCCTAGCACCCCTCCATTCCACCTTTAATGGTGTACAAGTCACCCAGGGAGATGCAGACACAGACTTAGTGGATTCAGGGTAAAGGCTGAGTTTGCATTTCTAATAGACCGTGAAGTCATGCTAATGCTGTAAATCACACTTGAGGGCACGAGAACCCACACCACACGGCTAAATTTTCCGCCCTCCTGTCTGATCCTGTATGTTTGAGGTCTACACATATGGAGGGCAGTATGGCTACGCAGTGAGTCCCTATGTTAAAAAAAAAAAAATGCCTATTTGGGAACAACTGCATTAGTCAATTGCAACTGTGTCCTTTCTATTGTGTTTTTATATATACTGCTTTCAACTTTAAAATCTTTGGTGGTTTCCGGGTACCTTTCAGGAAATCTTTTTATTTGTTTTCCCACATTGTAGTGAAGTTTGCAAGGGATACGGGGACACAAAGCCAATCTGCTTATATCCAAAGCTCTACTCAGCTGAGCCCCTCTATCTTCTTACCAACGTCTCTCTCTCTCTCTCTCTTTGTAGTTTTTGGAAACCAGATCTTATAAAGCCCAGGCTAGCCTCGAACTTGCAGGAATGCCCACCCATGTCTTTTGAATGCTAGCATTACATGAGGGCAACCTGACTTCTGCCATCATCAGAGTAAAGATCTTTATATCCCTCTAGATCCCACTCTGGAGTGATGGGTATCGGCCCTAACTTTGGAAGCATTTGCAATCATGGAATAAAACTGTCTGCTCCATTTAGATAATGCAGTGGGGCCGGGTGGTGGTGGCACACACCTTTAATCCCAGCACTCAGGAAACAGAGGCAGGTGGATCTCTGGAGGCTAGCTTGGTCAACACAGCGAGCTCCAGGACAGGTTCCAGAGCTACAGAGAAATTCTATCTCAAAAAACCAAAAACAAAACAAAACAAAAAAAATTAAAATAAATAAATAAATAAATAAAATAATACAAATCCCAATGGCTACAAATAGTTGAGATTGGCATTTCCTTATTTTGCATGTGGTTTGACTATAACCACTACATGCCTGAAAAAACACTTTGCGGTGGGCAGGGTGGTTACTGCCTCTCTCCTCTGGCAGAATGATCTATTTTCTTTCTTGATCCTCTCTGCTATTCACTGCTGTACTGTTAGCACAAGTTTAAGTAAATATGTACCTGGCTCCAGGTCTGGCCTGCAATGTATATCTGGAGCCCAAGTTCCAGACATGATTCTGCCATCCCGCCTGACTCTTCTCTTCTAAGAACCAGTGTTCCCAGATGTGGGCCCCTCGTTCCCCAGCCAGGAGGCCAGCAAAGCAGGAGAGGAGGCAGATGCCGGAAGTTCAGATTAGACGGTCCTCCTCCCCCGCCTTCCGGCGGGAATTTGGAATTAATTTGTGGATTACTCAAAATCCCTAACTCGGTGGAAGGGCCCTAGTGCACGTGTCTGTCAACGCTATACTTCAAAAGCCCACTTCGGGCAAGCTTTGATGCCACTCCCAGCCCAGAAGTACCACGGGGGACGTGGAGGCGACAGCTGCTTGGCTCCCAGCGCTCCGATCCCTCCCTCGTCACTCACCCCGGAGTTACACCCCACGTCGAGCCCTAGGATCGGCCTCCTCTCGGGACCCTCGGGAGGGAAAAGCTGTCGAAGAAGCTCCGGGGGTAGAAGGCGGAGCCTTTGCTCGGGAGGGTGGAAACGAGAATAATGAGGGAAATTTCCGAACGGGGCGGCCCCGGGTTTCAGAACTCCCGGATTCTCAGTCTCCACGGCCTCGTCTGCTGCCAACTTCCCAGTCGCCGCCATCATCCTCAGTCCCTGGGTCCCGGCGGAACCGGAAGCTCGGAACCCGAGGCTGGTGAGGGAGAGCGCAGTGACAGCGCGCCTGCGCCTAGGAGGAGGTCAGAAGGATGGCGAGCCTAGGTAGGGAGAAAGACCCTGGGCTTCCTGGAGGCCGCCATCCTACCGGAGGCTGCGGTCATTCATCCCCTCTTTCTTAATGGACTTGCCCAAGTTGAGGCTGCAACTTGAGCCAACTGACCAAAACAAGGAGTGTGTTGGGGTCAAGTTAGACCAACTTTTGCTTCATACGCACAAAGCAAGATCCAAAAGAGACATTAGTTGTCTAGGGTAGGTTGGGGAATGTGTGTGTCCCGTCACACGATGAGACTGTGACAAAGGAACTTGAACGGAAGTTGTAGGCCATTTGTAGTGCCAGAAGACCTGGTGGCTTTGTCCTGAGGGACAGGCAGACACAATAACTGTAGACGGCATTCCAAAGAATGGACTTGTGACAATGATATTTTTCAGCCTTGAATCTCCTATACGTACATTAACCTTGGTGCAGATATGCTTGCACATCAGTGACCACACAGTATCTATTTGGACGGAACGGAGGAAGGAGTTAAATTGAAAGAGATGTGATGAGATGAAGTTAGACAAAAAGTGGGCTGAGGGATGTAGAGATGATTCAGTCAGTAAACGCTGTGTAAGCAGGTGGACCTGAGTTCGGATCCCCAACACCCACATAATGATGAGCCAGGTGTGGTAGTACATGCCTGTAATCCCAGAGCTGGGAAAGCAGAGACTAGAGATTCCCTGGGGTTTACTGGCTAGCCAGCTATCCGAGTTGGAAGCTCCAGGTTCATTGAGAGATTGTCTCAAAAGATAAGGTGATGATGATTGCAAAAGACACCTGACACCCACCTCTAGCGACAGAACAGGGTTAACTCAGTTTACCAAAACCTGCCCAGCACAGCTCACACAAGACATTCCAGCACTCAGGAGACTGAGGAAGGGTTGTTCAAAACTAGAACAGGTAATGTAATGAGCTCAGGTCTGACTAGAAGACAGAGTGAGACCCTGCCCCAAACAAGCAACACCTGCCTAGGGCAGAGAGAACTACTGTTGATTTTCTCCCTAGATTTTCTGGAAGTTGTGCAAAATACTGTGTTTTATTCAACTCCACTGTGACTTTTGGTCATTATTTTGTGTCTTTGAATCTTATAAGAAAAGAGTGAAATAGGAAATCAGGCAGAAATGACAGTACAAAGTAAAAGCTGAGAGGAAAAGAAATAGGACCTCAGCTGGACATGGTGGCCTATTATAAACCCAGCATGTGGGGGCTGGAAGCAGGAGAGTCAGGAGTTGAAGGTCAGCCTCTGCTACATAGCAGGTTCAAGACCAAGCTAGTCTACACCATGAGATCATGTCAAAAAAATTTTAAAACAAAACGAACACAGGCAGTGGTGGCACACACCTTTAATCCCAGTACTTGGGAGGCAGAAGCAGGCAGATCTCTGTGAATTCAGGACCAGCTTGGTCTACAAAGCAAGTTCCAGGACAACCAGAGCTGTGACATAGAGAAACCCTGTCTTCAAAATCCAAATCAAAACAAAAACAAAAGAAAACCCATTCATGGGGGTGGGGGTGTCCCTAGAGACCTATTTGAACACTGTTGGTACTTTTTCTTTTTTTTAATTTTTTGAGACAGGGTTTCTCTGTGTAGCCTTGTAGACCAGGGTCCACCTGCCTCTGCCTCCCGAGTGCTGGTATTAAAAGTATGTGCTGCCTGTCTCCTGTTCGTACTTCTATAGATGCCATTTTTTAGTCTCTTATAAATTTAGCAAATCATTGTCCTAACAGAGCGGAAGGTCTTCTTAAGACAGGCTGGTCAGAACTAAGCTTCCTACTTGACTGTGATATGCTGGGCAATCCTCATTTTCAACTTGAACTTGCTGCTTAGGCTTTGTGGTACCATATCCTGTGGAACTGGAGCCATGGGTAGTTCTGAATTGCCCAACATGGGTGCTGGAAATAGAACTTGGATCCTCTGGAAGAACAGCGAGCCCTCTTAACCACTGGGCCATCTCTTCAGCCCACCTACCTTATTTTCTTAAAGAGTATGGTGATTTTTATTTTTTGCTGACAAAGGCCAATTTTAGTTTAGTTTTGTTTTTGTTTTTCACACAAAGGCCAACTAGTCCTCAGACTCTGACCCATATTCATCTTGTTGGAAATAATGAAGGTCATAAGCCTCCTTGTCGGATGCACCCACATGAAGTCAATCACAGAGATTATTCTTAAGGTATTTCCTGGTAAGATATTTCAAATACCTTTTAGAGAACTGTTTCTTAGAAACAACTGTGATTTTATTCAAGTGTTCAATGTGAACTACATTCCCACAGTTTCCAGCTTTTCCATTGACTTTAACCTTCTCCCATAGAAACGGTTCAAAATTTCCAGAATCGAACATTTCATCTTCTACTGGATGAGTAAGGTCCAGATGAAACCTCAAGGTGGAGTTCTTAGCCTTCTTGGCTTTCTATGGCACCATATTGTCCAGAGGCCATGGAAAGAGCCGTCTACCTTATTTTTTAAAGGCATTGTCTTAGTTAAGGCTTCTATTGCTGTGAAGAGACACTGTGACCATGGCAACTCTTATAAAAGAAACCATTTAATTGGGCTTACACTTCAGGGGTTTAGTCCATTATCATCATGGCAGAACATGGCAGCATGCAGGCAGACATGGTGCTGGAGAAGGAGCTGGGACTTCTACATCTTGATCCATAGGCAGCAAGAAGGACTGAGACACACTGGGCCAGGCTTGAGCTTCTGAGATCTCGAGGCCTGTCCCCAGTGACTCACTTCCTCCAACAAAGTCTTACCTACTCCAACAAGCCCCCCTCCAATAGTTCCAGTTCCTTTAAGCCTATGGGGCCATTTTCATTCAAACCACAATTCCTTACTAAACCTTCTGCTGCCACCTCCCATTGGTGCGATTACAAATATGTGTCATCACAGCTGGCTTTACATGTGGGTGAGAGGGATCCAAACCCTTATGCTTTGCACATGAGGCATCCCCCCCCCCACCCAGCCCTGATTTCTCTTTTGACAGTAAATATTTTCTGAGACAGAGCAAGGAGATTAGAAAGATAAATCAGTCTTTTTAGCATAGTAGGTCAGAATTTCCCCTCATGTTTGAGTTTTTAAAAGTTTCTAGTACTAGGAACATAGCTTTGTTGGTAGAGTTTTTGCCTAGGTCCTGGATTCAGTTCTCAGCACAACATAAAAACTAGGAGTTCTTGCAATCCTAGCATCCTAGAAGTAGAGACAGAGGGATCAGAAGTTCGTGGTCCTCCTCAGCTATATGGTGAATTTGAGTCCAGTCTGGGCCACAAGAGACTCTGTCTCAAAAAGAAATCTCTTTTAGGGCTGGAGATGCAGCTCAGTGGTTAGGAGCCCTTGCCCTTACAGAGGGCCTAGATTCAATCCCCAGCATCCTCATAGTGGCTCACAACCATGCAGTTCCAGAGGATCTGATGACCAGGATCCAGTGATCTCTTTCAATCCCCACAGATACCAGGAAAACCTTCAGTCCACATACATATGTGCAGGCAAAACACTCACAAATATAAAATAAATATATCTAAAAATATAATTAAATGTTCTTTTAGTCCATAAATTCTTCTTTTAAAAATAGAAATGTTTTCATTGTGATTTTATTTTTGTACACCTACATGTATGTCTGTGCAGGATGTCATGTCTGAGGAAGACAGAGAGAATGTTGGATGCCTTGGAATGACACCCATGGAGTTATACAGTTGTGAGCTGCCTGCCGGGGTGCTGGGAACTGCACTTAGGTCCTCTGCAAGAGCTGAGCTGTCTCTGCAGCCCCCTGATACAAATCTTTTTATTTGCACTGAGAACAGTATTTTGTGCCAACTGATCAAACATTTAAACATAGGAATTCTTTACATGTAAAAAAATATTCTATTTTTTTATAGTGTGTGTATATGAGGTGGGAACAGTTTGTGTACACAAGGGCACTTAGTGTCAGAGGAGGCAGGGAGGGTACTCGATCTCAGGGAGCCAGAGTTACAGTTGGCTATGAGCTGCCTGACATGGGTACTGGGAACTGAGCTTCGGTTCAGTAGGAATAGTATATTTTCTTAACCATTTAGCCATCTGTCCAGCCCCTAATTTTTATAAGGCCACATATGTATCATGGCGCACATGAGGAAGTTAGAGGACAATTTCTGGGAATCTATTTTCTCTGTCCAGGCTTGGCAGTAAGTTCCTTCACCCACTAAGCCTTTGCTAGTCCTAAACATAGGAATTTTGATAAATTATATTTTGTATGATTTCCATTAAAAAAGAAAAGGATGAACCAGATGTGGTGATAAACTTAGAGACTGAAGAGGGAAGGTTAAAACTTGAAGGTCAGCTTGAACTATATAACAAGACCTTGTCTCAAAAACTGAGGGCTGGGGAAATAGCTCAGTGGTGAAATTCTTGCCCAGCTTGACAAGCACAAGGCCCTAGGTGTTCAGTTCTCACGTGCACACAGGTGCGTGCGCACACACACACACACACACACACACACACACACACACACACACACCGTGCTTTTATAATTACATGTGCTGCATTATTGAGTATATTGCCAACAGGATAAACTCATTTTCACTGGCGTTAGTATGGAATGGAATTCTCTATTGCATGGCTGATGATTGGTAAATTTTTCTCAGGCCAGATTCTGGCTTTGTGTATATTAAAACCTTGATTCTTCTCCACTCCCACAGACTTCCAATCCTAGGTGCTGTTGGACACGTTTAATGCCCCGATCTGACCCAGATGTGGACATACAGGCCACAACCCCAGGTGATTCACGTAATGGGTGGATATGAATACAGCAGTAAATGTTCCTACACGTGTGCAGTGAGGAGTAACTACGTCTGTGACTACACTTGTAGTAATAGCCTCAAGTGGAGGGCATTTCCAAGTCAGCTTTCCTTCGATGGATGCCAAGAATGCCCATGGCCAC